GGATTGATGGAGTGGGGGGCTGTGGGGCTGGGGGAGCGGTGTGATGGGCTGAGGGGTGGCGAGGCGATGGGGTGGGAGTGGGAGCTGCGGGCTCCGTGAGCTTGGGATGGAGCGTGGCGAGATCCTGTGCCTGGAGTTACCGCCCTGTGTCCGATTATTGCGCTGGGGGGGTCTGTAAGGGGGGGATGCAGCTGGGAGCTCTGTGGGACGGGGGCGTGAGGCACTGGAACAGGTTGCCCGAGGAGGCTGTGGATCCCCATCCCTGCAGGCATCCAAGGCCAGGCTGGATGTGGCTCTGGGCAGCCTGGTCTGCTGGTTGGTGACCCTGCGCATAGCAGGGGGTTGGAACCAGGTGAGCATTGTGCTCCTTTGCAACACAGGCTGTTCTATGATTCTATGGACAGGTACAGCCAGGAGCCCTGAGTGAGGTACACAGACAGAGAGGGGTTGGGGTGAAATGCAGGGCATGGCTAAGGGGCTGCTTCTGGAGGGTAGGAGGGGGCTGTGCCTGGAGTTGGGGCTCAGCCCGCACTCGTTGTGTAGGTGGGCTGTGATATGGGGAGCTTTGTGTGTGCAGGGAAGGAGAGCTGTGTTGTGCCAGGCAGCGAGAGGGGCTTGAGGGAATGTCAGCTGTATCCATGGCAGGAGGAGTGCATTGAGGTGCTGGAGAAGCAGTGGGTGATGGAGACCTAAGGGTGCTGCCTGTGGAGGGGGGTGGTTGTGCCCATGAGTGCTAACCAAGCATGAGGGTTATGTAAGAGTATGAAGAGGTTTTACGCCATGCCATGCAAAGTAGGGGAGAGCACAGAAAGGTCAATGTGGGGCTGTGTAGGAGGGAGCTCTGTAAAGCAGCATGCCAGGAGCTTGGGGTTTCCCAAAGGATGCGCCTTGGGGCTGGCGGGAGCTGTGGGAGGGAAGTACCAAGGGAAGTGCTGCACTGGGAGAACTCGTAGGTGCAGGAAGGAGCTCGGTGTTAAATGGGGTTACGTTCTGTCACATGGTTGCTGTGATGAGTGGCTCTGATGGTGTATGGGGTTGTGTGGGCACGTGGGGATGTTTTGCATGCTCATGCTCGCAATGAAGTGTTTTGTCTTGTGAAACTGGCCTGAGTCTGATACCCTGAAACGATTCAAGGACAGCAGTGGTTAGCTGAATCCACGTGCAACATAACATTTCTCAGTTACAGAGAGTTCCTTTCTTTTTTTTGTTGTCACAATTTAATGTGCAAATGAAGCAGACGTGAAATTTGCAACTGAACTTCCTCAACAGTTTCTCTGTTCAGTGCCTCAATGGTTTCAAGTAACAAAACACAGAAACTGTGAGCCTGGAAGAAGCTGTTTTGTTTTGTGCCCAGAGAAAGCCAGGGGGAGTGTGGCCCTTTTATGTGCTTCCATACACATCATTAACATCTTTGATTCCCATGCTGGCACCCATCCTTGCTGCTGGCGGATGAGCTGATTGTATTCATTTCTGCATGCATGGCTTTTCTCTAGACGTGGCAAGATGCAGAGGGAGTCAGACTTCATGGCCAGTGTGGACAGCAGTTGGATCTCCTGGGGTGTGGGAGTCTTCATCCTGAAGCCCCTGAAGTGGACGCTCTCAAGTGTGCTGGGTGACAGCAAAGTACCTGAGGAGGAGGAAGTTCTGATTTATGTGGAGCTACTTCAGGTAAGTGCTGCTGAGAGCCTTCAGAAAAATACAAGAGCAGTTTTAGGTGCTAGCAAGGAAGGTTTGGGGTTGAAAAAGGACCGCCTTCAGGCATTCCTACACCTGAGGAGTACAGAAACATTTCCATGGATGTTCCTCTAAACTAATGTGTTTACTTCTTGCTAACATCTAAGAAATGAGATTCTTGCTGTTTTGCCCAGGAAGACAAGAACTGTGCTGTGAGACCTCTGTACAGCTCGGGTTTGAGTTGATGCAAGTGTAGTATACAAGAGGAATTTGCAGTTCTAAATTGAACAGTGCTGTGCTGGCAGTCAGGACCAGGACCTGGGACCCTTTCTGTTGGTGGCTGTTAAAATGAGCAACAGGATTTACTGCTGCTACGTGCAGATGGCCTCTGGATGGCTGGGGCTAGAAGAAATGCAAGAGCTCTTTTGGATGTATGCCTTTATTTGTAGTTACTCTGATAGCACACAGTGTCTTTCCTCAGTGGTGGATATTGCACACTCCTTTCAGAGGTGTGTGTGTGGAAGAGGAAACTTCAAAAGGTGTCTGGAACATCACGTGCCTCGATGCAGAGCTCAGGAGTTGATGGGAGGAATTGTTTCTGTAGTTCCTCACTTTGAATGGGAAAGCTTTTCCCTTGTTTACACAGGAAAATGACTCAATGAGTACAGCTCATCACATGGATTAAAGAAAAGCTCATTTGGGGTTTAAATTCCTGGGGAGAAGAAATGTAGAAGCACCCACCTTGCTGCTTGTATTGAAACAGTACTATAGTTGTTTTCAGATGTTGTTTATGCCTCATTCTGCAGGTCAGCCTGACCCAAACCGTGCCTAACTTTTTACTTTCAGCATGTGAGAGAAAGTAGGTGCAACTTGACATCATGAGCTGAAAAACAGCTGAGAGGAAACTGAACACTGTCCTGTTTCCTTCCAGGAGAAAGCAGAGGAAGTTTATCGCCTGTATCAGAACTCTGTGCTTTCATCTCACCCCGTTGTTGCTCTCTCAGAGCTGCGTTCCCTCTGTGCTGGTGTTTGTCCAGATGAAAGAACATTCTATTTATTGCTGCTCCAGCTGCAAAAGGAAAAGAAAGTCACAATCCTGGAACAGAATGGAGAGAAGGTACAGGGTCAAGGTGACTGCTTTGGGGAGGTGTAATCCCTGCCTTATGTTTCATCTGGCTGGAAGGAACTTTGTGCGTTCTTTATTTGAGGAAAGCAATTCTATGCACTCCAACATCACAACCTGATAACAGATGAGATTCAGTTTTGTGTGCTGCCATCCAACATCTGTAATACTACCCATGTAGTATGTACATGTACCCATGTACCCAGCTTGTAGATTAGCAGGTATTGCAGTTGGTAGCTGTTCCCAGCTACCCAAACTGAAATGGTTTCATGCTGCTGCAATGGGTGTTTCTCTCCTTATGCCAGGGCTCTCCTGTTTGTCAGCAGCAGCACAGAGCAGGCTCTGCTCTCCCTGTGTGCTGGTAGTGCTGGGCACTGTGGCTCTGTACTGAAGAACCTAGAAGCATGATGCTGCCCCATGCTGTTCAGAGTGCTGGGACAGCTTTACGTGATCAGGGTGTTCATTAAGGCAGGACCCCATCTGATTTAATATCAAAATATACGATGACTGGCTTGTCTCCTGAACTCTGTTACAAGACTCAAATAAAACCATGGGTAAAAGCATCTTTTCTTTCTGTTAGAATGAAAATATTTCCAGTGCAGGCACAAATGGTGGAGATGAGTGAATCAAGTGTGTGCTGCTGCTTTTCCTTTAGATAGTGAAGTTTGCCAGAGGACTTCATGCCAAAGTCTCTCCAATGAATGATGTGGACATTGGAGTCTATCAGCTGATGCAGAGTGAACAGCTGCTGTCACAGAAGGTGGAGTCCCTTTCCCAGGAAGCAGAGAAGTAATTTGGGGATGGGTGGTGGGAAGAATTTCCATGTGATGCAGAACTCTGTGCCCCTGTTAGGTAGTTAAGAACAAAGCTGCCTTCTTGTTCTGTCCCATGTAGAACACATAATATTTTCAGCAATGTAGTAGGGCAGATTTTCTAGTATTGTTTTTTGTCCCTATGAAGACTGTATGTAGTGAGTGGATGTCAGAAGCTTTGCAATGATCTGAAATACTTCCAAGGGCTACTTGTGAAAAGCAGGAATGGCTTGAAGGCTGCTGTGTCTGAAATACATGGGTGCTTGGTCACTTGCTGTGTGTTACAGCAAGGTAGTGAAGGTGGCTGTTTAATTCTAATTTTTATTTATTAAAAAAAACCCACAAACTATTGCTGCTTGCAAAGGAGTAATCTCTTTGTTTGTTTGTTTTTTGCATCTCTACAGATGTAAAGAAGATGCCCGGAATGCTTGTAGAGCTGGGAAAAAGCAACTGGTAAGTGATGGTCTATTTAGGAGGAGTAGGACATGTTAAATGCCTTGGGGCTGGTTTGTTACTACAGATAATGACTAGGTTTAGTGTGGCAAGGTTTATCTCAGGAGTGTGAAGAGTGTCTCTGTTGTCAAAGGTCTCCTTAAGGTGCAGACGTGGCTTTGTCTGACCGTGGTGATGTGCTGAAGAGAATGGGAACATCTAGCTCTTAAAACCAGCAGTTTTATGCATGCTTTGTTGTGCAGGGGTGGTTATTCTGTTTCCTTTGAGTGCTGCCTGGTTTGTGATCAGGTCTGTTTGTATCCAATGTCTGCAGGCACTGAGATGTCTGAAGTCCAAACGAAGGACAGAAAGGCGCATTGAGGAGCTTCATTCCAAGCTGGATGCAGTGCAGGGGATCTTGGATCGTATCTATGCTTCCCAGACTGACCAGATGGTAGTGTGTTCTTTTTGACTTCTCAACCTAGCCCCACTCTTTCCATTTGTGCTGCTTTACCTGTTCCTCTGCATGCAAGCTAGCTGATGAGGCTTTATCCTCTGCTCTAGGAAGCTGCAGCTCTGATATCAAAGCATTGCCCTTAGTGAAATGCTTCTGGCTCTTGTTTTGTGTGCTCACTTCTCTATGAGTGTCCTACTTGAGCAGTGAGTCTTGAGAGGTGCTGAGTGTTTGCTTTTAGTTAACAGTGTGCTTCTTTTTCTTCCAGGTGTTTAATGCCTATCAGGCTGGTGTGGGAGCTCTGAAACTCTCTATGAAGGATGTTACTGTGGAGAAGGCAGAGAATCTGGTAGATCAGATACAAGAGGTACTGAAATAGGAACACACATAAATAAGCACTTAATGCATAATAAGCAGATTTGTCCAGCAAATGTGAAGCATCTGGTGTTGCTTGGTTTCTGCCTTGTGTGTCATCAGAACAAATGGAGTTATTCTTGATCTTTTCAGATCAGCAGAAGTATTCCAATAACTGTCTATCTGATTTTATGTAACTACATTTATTGCTGGCCACAGCACAACCTCACGTTGGCTCTTCAGTTAGCAGCATTGTGCAAGCATGCAGCTCTCTTAGAAAATGTTTCTCTCCTGGAAATGAGAAGGAGAAGAGTTTATTTTGAATTAATGGAAGAGAGCAATCTGCATAAGCTGATGTAGAAAACAGAGGAGGATTATTTCTTCAGCTCCACGTACTTAGGTGTAGTAACTTCAACTGCTGAGCTGAAAGTTCAGTCCTAGCTGAACTGTTTTCATTTGTCCCTTCTTTTGTTAGCATAAGCCTCAATGTAAGCTTGTTGCTTATGTGAAATAGCTACAACTGGAGGGATATCTCCCCTTTTCAGGTTTATTTCCTTTTGTAGCACTTATTAAATCATCTTCCACGTTACTGTTTTTTACTACTAAGAAGTTAGGCATGTTGGACTTCTAAAAGCAGCAGGACTAGTGCAAAAAAGGTCAACTACTGGTTTATTTATTAGTTGCTATTTCTGCTTTTGGCATAGCTGGATTACAGTAAGACAAGAGAGACTTCAATTCCGTACAAACTGTCTCTTTTGGTTTTGTTTTTTTTTTTTTTTTACCCCCTAGCTTTGTGATACTCAAGATGAAGTAGCCCAGACTCTGGCTGGAGCAGGGGTCAATGGTTTAGGTAAGTTCTGGGGCTCTCAGCTTCTGCTTGTGTCCCTGCTACTGCTGTTAAAGGAAGCTATGGCTCATCAGGAGTTCCTTATTATGAGTAATGAAGTGGTGGTGGGGAGTAATAACAATTCCATTAAACTTCAGTACATCTGTGAAAGTGATACTTAATTCTGCTAGAAGCTAAATGTTTTCTTTCACTGGCAGAGATGGACTCCGAAGATCTGGAGAAGGAACTGGACAGCCTCCTCCAGGACTCAGCTAGGGAGCCTGTCCACCTTCACACTGTACCCCAAGAGGAGCCGCGTTCTGGATCTGCAGGAGCCATTTTGGATACTGAGCTTGAAGCTGAGTTGGAAAAGCTCTCTGTTTGTGATGAAGGTATGGATGTCAGCAGGCTGTGCTAATTACCCATTACTAGATCAGTTGTAGGGTTAGGATTTTTGATGCTGTTGTTATGTTTTATTATCTAATCCTTCATCCTGATGGAAATTGATCACATTATGTTGCAATTTTCTTTATAGATCTGGCACAGAAGACTCCATCTGCTTCCTCTGAACCCCAAACAGCTCTGGGACTGAATCTCTAAAGACCCGACCACATCCTGTTGCTGCAGTTTGACAAGTTGTCTTAAGGCTCTTTAATTATTGACTAAAACTTTGGGACAGAGGGGTCCTGGTCCCCTCTTCTTTGTGAAATCACTTTGCTAAGCAACAGGATCTCCTGCCATGACAATCCACTCTGGAACTGGCCCCAGCTGGTGTTTGTCATCTCTGTGCCAACATCTGCACTGGTCTGAATTTGACTTGCTGTCATCTCGAGTCACCTGTGACATCCAGGAACGCAGTTCACTACTCTGCCCAGTGGAGATAAACTCTCTCTGTCCATAACAGTGCTTGTTGTTTTGTTTTTTTTTTTTCAATTTTCTTTTTCTTTGCTGTGGCTCACGTTGAGAACCTGAGTTGCAGCAGCATTGCAGTTGCTCAACATTTGGCTGTGTGGTTGTTTAGAACACTTGGCACATAAGTACTGCCCTTGACATAAGTTACCTGCAACGAGCTTCACCACCTGTTGGTAGTTCTGTCCCTCCCCTCTATGTTCTGCACGGTTGTGGACAACTAGACACTGTAACAATTGTAGGAGGTGTTGCTGCTGCACTAGAGGGCAGCAATTGCAAGCACAAGACAAAAATAATTCCTCTTTCTGTAATGACACTAAGGCCTTAAAAGGGAGACCTGCAAAATATGTGAAGTTGAGGGAGTTGCTGGTGCTGAGGTCAGTGACAAAGCCTTGTAGTCGCTGTGATGCAACTTTCTGCTTTCTCTTACTTGAAATCTGAGCTGTCTGCTGCCTTTGTATCTTCCTTGTTGGCAAGGCAGCAGCAGGGTGATCTGCTTCCAGCTCTCCTGTGGGGTGGGAGGGGAAAAGATGCATCATTTTTTCTCGTTTGGAGTTTCATGTAACAGTCTTAACTGCTTGTGGTCTTGGTGCTGCAATTCCACAAGATGATGGGTTACCAGAAAGCCCCAAAATAAAACCATGTATGGGTTTCTAATGCAAAAAAAACCAACAGCAAGTGAAGATGTTTTTGGAGGCTGGGAAGTGAAATCATTGCTTTTTTTTTTTTTTTTTTTTGCAGGTCACTTTTTTATGATATGTATGCACTTGGAAAAGCAGAAAGCCTGGTACTGCACACCAATAAATGAATTCCTTCAGGAGGAGAAGAGAAGGAGCGTGGGCTTTCTGCATGCCCTGTGCATGGCAGGGGAGCCCAGAGCTCTGTTGAGCTGTAGTCCTCTCTGCACCTCTCCCTGACTTGGAATGTATTCAGTATTATCAGTGTCTGTTTCTGAGCTCTCTCCTGACCCTGAGTTGCAATGCTTGAGCCACGCACTTGGCTGAGCAGCACCCTGGGCCTGCAGTTGCTGTATTGCTGCCAAAGCAGCTTCAGCCCCAGAGGGCTGGGAGAGAAATCCTGGGCATCATCAGGGTGCTGCTTTGGCTTTGGTGTCCTTGTCACTCCTGCTGAGCAGTGCAGGCCCTGCTGGAGCCCTCAGTCAGCCAGCAGTGTGCCCAGGCTGCACGTGAAATGCATTCTCTGTATTCCTTTCTTTTGTAAGCCAATGGGAGAAAAAACACTGTTTTCTGCCTACATGTAATAAAGGGGAGAGGAAGAACCAGAGTCCTTTGTGCTTATTTCCCTTTGCAGCTCGTTGCCATGTTAGGACTGTTCTGGCTGTTCTGTAACTGCAAAGGTATGCTGAAAGCAAGGATGCAGTCCTGGGCTTTGTGTCAAAAACCAGAGTTGTTCCTGTGTGAGACAATGCCTTCCAGTCTATGTCTCAAAACAGTTACTGCTGTCTAACAAACAGCAACTATGTGGATTTTGTTTTTTGCCTAAAGGCAGTGATGGAATGGAACACCTACCATATCAGCACTGCCCAAATCAGCCCTCCTTCCTGCTCAGGTTAAGATATCTGAAACAAGCTTTGAATTCGCCAAGTCAAGCGTGTTTCCTGCAGACAGAGGTCAGAGCTGAGCAGGCGTGCTGATCCCTAGAGAGTATTTTTGGAGGGGGGGTGAAGGCAGGAAGGAGTCTCGTACTCTGTGCTCACTGTGTGCTGCCCACAGCATCTCTGGAAGTTTCTAAACGACACAAATAGTGCATGTACTCCTCCTGTAGGGACATAATGGGAAATAAAGCACAGAACAACTGCTGGAGGAGCAACGTCTCCTGTAACACATCAGAAGCCATGCTGGGGAAGAGTTAACACCCAAGTAGCTGCTGCTTCATCTAAGTGGCATTTCCTTCCTTTGATGCAAAGTGGGGAATGTGATGGAGATGGCTGAGCTGGGAATTTTAAATAGAGTTTGAGACAGCAGGGCAGGGAAATAGAGGACAGCTTCTTGCTGGGTGAGAAAATGAAAGCTGGATTGCCACTGAACTGCAGACTTCTTATCACACTCGAGTGCTGCATCAAACAGTACCTCACTTGATTCTCAGAAAAAATAGCAGCTGCTTAAGTGAGGAAATGTAACTATGTAGTGCATGATGCAGCAGAAGGAGACTAAAATTTGTGCATTGTTTTCCTACAGCAGAAGAGCTGTCAGCCCTTTCTCCACGAGGTGCGTGGCAGTGGAGGTGATGTTCTGGGTCCCACCACATCTTCCCCTTGCTGACCCAGTTTTGAACACCTCCTTCAGTGTAAGGATCAGATCCAGGTGTTTCTAAGCTCCTCAGAGGGGGGTCTTCCTCAGACCATGGGTTTCCTGGGATGCCTTCAGCCCATGGGACCTGAGCACGTGGTGAGTGCTCAGTGCCAACCTCGGGTGGATTAAATGCTGCAGGGCAGATCACCACCTTCATTGTTGCCTTTTAGGCTGACAGAAGCATCCCACATCTTAGACATCTCTGTGTCCTGTACAGGGAATGGGAAAAAATCACTCTGGGGTGGCACAAGGGGCATCTGCATGCATCCTTCGTGGCATAATGCATCTCCAGGGAGCACACCGCTGTATAGAACCTTAGAGTTAGAAGGGACCTCTGAGGCCATCTAATCCAACTGCACTGAGACACCACAGCACCATCAGGGCCCGATCCAGCCCCGTCCCGTGGTGTCAGGGCACTTGGATGGGATCTTTCCCTCCGGTGCAGCCCTGGGAAGGAGGAAAGGAGCAGCGTCATCACTGCCGATAGGAGCGCGGAGCCGTGCGCCGGCGCTTGGTGCCATCTAGCTGCTGTCCCTGGCATAGGCACGAGCCCAGTGGAACTTATTAAAGGCTTAATTAGCTGTTTAATTAAACAAACCCTCACGAAATAAACGCTGGGACGTGGAGCAGCTTCTTTCAGCTGTCACAGAGTGAGTGCACTGTTTGGTTTCGGAGTGAGCTGCCCTTTGTGGGAAGAAGAATGATGCTCTCGTTCCCATTTGTTCTTGGGCAGCTGGGATCGTGCAGAGCCTGAGTCACTGGGTCAGCTTAATTAAATCACAGCATAGCTGAGCTGATGCTCTATAGATTGGCTGCTGCTTTCTTCTGTGTGCATGGCAAAGGCAGAGGTCACTGCAATGCTACAGCGTGGTAAGGGAGTTAATGCTGAGCTGCCTGCTGGCTTTGTTACTTCAATCTGCAAGGGCTTTCGCTGCCCTTCCGTGGCTTAGCCACTTTCCAGCACTGCACTTCTCTAAAGCAGGTCCCCATTTAGCAGCTGCTCCAACTTGGAATGTTCTGTGATTCTACAAAACGCCAGCTGTGCTGGGCAGCTCAGGACAGGAGGCAGTGACTGCTTTAGGGGCACACATCTGAGCCGTCTCTCCCCTTCAGACATCGCACCAATAGATTTGTGCAGGCTACACTTCCATCCTGATTCGCACTGAAGAGCCTTCAGTCCCACTCGAATGCTTGCTGTTTAACCCCTAATTCCCAAGCAGCTCATCCTGTTGTGGGCAGAGCCAGATCACACCTGCATGAAACCCAGAGGCAATGAGAAGGAAGATTGGGCACCAGAGCAGGCTGCTTTATGGGCAGAGGACATCTGCCTGCTAGAGCAGAAGGAGCAGAGCCTGGTCAATGCAAGAGGGGCTGGGTGGGATCCTGCAGCAGATCAACACCAGAGGAAGAGCTCTGCAGCAGGAAAAGGCTTGCAGCAAAGCCCTCACAGCTTGCTCCACAATCAGAGGTGAGTGCTGGCTCTTTATGAATGGCTGCAGAGAAAGGAAAGTGGGGTGAGAGGCAAGAGGATGAAACAAACGCTGTGCTGTCAGCAGGAGACTTAGGAGTGAAAGCATCCAGTGCTTTTCCATGGGTCACCTGGCTGCGTGTGAGAGCTGGGAGGACTGCAGTTGGTGCTGTGGAGCTGTCAGCAGGGCTTTGGATGCCGATGGGGGCTTGAACAGCTGTGAAATCTCTCAGTGGACTGGAGCAATGGAACAACCCATGGATGGCTTTTAATCCTCCATGGGAGGAGGTGGGCTGGACTCGATCAATGGCAGTGGGAAGAGCAGGGTGGAGGGAGAGACCCCCATGTTTTCTCTCCATGGCGTAGCAGCTGCTTTACTGTTCCTTCTCATCCTCCTCACGCTCCTGGGCAACAGCCTGGTGTGTGTGGCTGTCATCAAGTTCAGACACCTACGCTCCAAGGCCACCAACTTCTTTGTTATCTCCTTGGCCGTGTCTGACCTCCTGGTGGCCGTGCTGGTGATGCCTTGGAGGGCTGCTGCTGAGGCGGTGGGGTTTTGGCCCTTTGGGGCTTTCTGTGACATCTGGGTGGCTTTCGACATCATGTGCTCCACAGCCTCTATCCTCAATTTGTGTATCATCAGCATGGACCGCTACTGCGCCATCTCCAACCCCTTCTGCTACGAGAGGAGGATGACACCACGTGTGGCTTCTGCCACGGTTGGGATGGCATGGCTGCTGTCCCTCCTCATTTCCTTCATCCCCGTGCAGCTGAGATGGCATGAGAATCAAAATCTCCTCAACCAGCAGGAGAACATCACCCAGGAGAGCTGTGATTCTCACCTCAACAGCACGCCATCTCATCTTCTCTCATCAGCTTCTACATGCCCGTTGCCATCGTGATCGTGACCTACACCTGCATCTTCCGCATCGCCCAGCGGCAGATCCGCAGGATCTCCTCCTTGCAATGCACCCAGCAGTGAGTGCTCACACAGCCAACCTGAGGAGCACCTTCAAGAAAAAGACCAAGGTCCTCAATACCCTCTCCATCATCGTGGGCGTCTTTGTCTTCTGCTGGCTGCCTTTTTTTGTGCTCAACTGCGTGGTGCCCTTTTGTGATCCTCACCAACGCAAGCCGTGTGTCAGCAAGGCTGTCTTCAACACCTTTGTCTGGCTCGGGTGGGCCAACTCTTCCCTCAATCCCATCATCTACGCCTTCAATGCAGATTTCCGGAGGGCTTTCATCACCATCTTGGGCTGTGAACACCTTTGCCCCAACAACACGGTGGAGATGGTCAACTTCAGCAACGAGTTGGTCTCCTACCACCACAACACCTCGTGTCCAAGGGACGTGCTGACCCTCAGCCACCCCCATGCTGTTCTGCAGGTGGAGAACAATGAGGTGTCCTCTGGGAAGCTTTCCCAGCTCTCCTCTCACAGCAGCTGCCTGCAGTGGTACACGCAGAGCACGAAGCAGAGAAGATTGCACCACTCACCTGCAATGCATTGAACTGAGATGGGTGGGAGCAGCCTGGTGGGATGGAGATGGATGGATGCAAGCAGGGGCTGCTGCAGCTGCCTGTTTTCTGAGGCCTTTGAGAGTCACATGAACACTTCATTCTGCTGGGCAGGAGTTTGCATTACTGACTGTGGAGTGATGGATTTATTTTCAGATGGCTCAAAGGATTCAGATGTTTTTTTGTGTTTTTTTTTCTTCTTGTAACCTACAGCTTCAGACCCAGCCCAGGTGTGCAGTAGAAACCTGTGTGGCTGCCCTCCCTTTGACCCATAGGAAAACACTTTTTGCAAAAAGACAAAAACGCAACGGCTCCAATTTCTCTTTCCTTTTGTCTGCAGAGAGATGAGGCTTTGTGCAAACTGCCCTGCAGGCCGTGGCATGCACACAGCCACCTTCCCAGAGCCCCAGGGCTGTGCTGGGCTGCAGCTTATCCAGAGCACACTGCAGGGTGCTCGCTGGTGAGGAGTTGGGTGTATTGGAGGATGAATATGTTCCAACCCCAGGATGCTGAACCATTTGCTCAGAGCCTTTGGGAATGAACCCTTCGGGCACCAGGAGGACAAATCCAGGTTCTAGGGCATGGATATTGCTGTTCTGATCTTGCTGCTTGTGCCACATCTTCCACCAGCCACGTCCCCATCCTTTTTGCCATGTGTTTCTTTCCCCTTTTACTCCTTTCTCTCTCTAAATCATGAAGGATCCTTCCTGCCCTGCCTCATTTCAATAATCATGACTTCTAAAGCAGCACTCCTTGTTCACCTGTGCTCTTTAATCAGCCCCTCCTGTGCACATCAGAGCTGTGGCAGTGAAGATCCCCAGCACTTGGCTGCTGCCTGGGACATGAAATGCATTCTGCTCCAACGAGCAGCACGTTGCCTTCCATCTGAGGCATCCTTTGCTCTCTGCACAACAGGAGAGCCTTCCTCCTCCTGGTGAGAAAGCTGAAAGTGGTGATTACAGACTACCAGTAATCGTTAAATAGAGCCCAATTATAGCCAAATTCAGCGCGGTCAGCATGAGAATGGAGCAGGGCTCGTATTCCTGAGGTCAGTGCTTGGGTGTTCCTATGGGGCACTGCACTGCTGTTAGCTCCTATGACGTGCAGAAGAAACAACGGAGCAGTTGATGGGAACCTTTGATGGAGGTGGGTCTTCTTTGCATAGCTGCTGTCTAGATGCCTGATCTGCTTGATTTACCATTGGTTGCTTGCTGCTTCTCTCCATTCCCCTACAGCTTCACTGGGAGCATCCTCCTCCTCCCACCCCAAATCCTCCTCCTCCCACCCCAAGGTGGATTGCAGAATAACAGAGCAGTGGCCCCAATGCCCTGAGAGCCATTCTGTGCTGCTGGAGGTGTAGTGGGACCTCATTACACTCTGGTTATACAAAGAGAGGGATCGTGAAGCAGGGTGAGGCACCCAGGTCCCATTGGGCTCAAAAGCTGCTCCCCCCGTTGTGGGCCCATTGCAACCAGAGGAGAAGGAACAACGCTTCCACCTTTCCAACACGGCTGCAAACGGTGCTTAAAGGCAAGGAAGGATGCTCTGAGACCAGGAAAAGGGCTGTTCTGCTCTATGCAATCACAAAACAAGGGATAGTGTGGGGCAGCAGCTGTTTGTTGCCCCAAATTGGTTTTGTTTAATATAGATATCTATTTTTTTTCTGTGTGTAAGTGACTGCACGGAGTACAGAAGGGGCTGAGCAGTGCAGGCTGCGTGATTCTGCTTTGGCATCCAATGTCAGCTGCTCCCCTCATCGTGCAAAAGCTCCACGTGGGGGATATGAAGGTCTGGGGGGGCTCAAAGGAGCCTGGAAGGATCTCTTAAGAAATCACAGCTAATCTAAGAGGTAATTGCGAGCAATCAGTGAGCTCCAGGGAGCTGCATAGAGCGAGCCAAGCTGCCATGGCACGGATCCTCTCTGCTCCTACAGATGGAACCAGGGCCACAGTGAGAAACCTGCGGGGCTGCCTGCTTTGGTTCGTTCGGCCCCAAACTCAGGCTCTGGGGTTTTTCCCTTGAGAAATACGAAAAGATGCCCATAAACCCCCAGAGAGAGGAAACGTGCGCGATGGGGGAAATCAGCGCGACTCATTGGCTGCCGCGGCAACATCGCCGCCGTTCGCTTGGATCCTATCGCAAATTCGCTCATGCTATGGGGGGGCGGAGGGGGAAAGAAGGAAAGGACC